CCCCCCCCGGATCCAGATGCGCGTCCTTTGTTCTCTTCCATCCGCTCTCCGTCCTCTTGTGCATCGATAACACACGGTGCGTCGATCTGGAAAAAGTTTCCACGCTTCTTCCTCTCTCTCCCTCGCGCGCGAGTGATGGAAAATGATTTTTCTTCTTATTTCTCTTTTTTTTCTTCTCGATCTTTTTCACCGGGTGTTGATGATATTTGTGGTTACGTTTTGGAGAGGTTCGATGGACGAAAAATTGGTGTAGAAAAAAAATATCGGAGGCTCGCTCGTTGAGCTTCAGAGGTTTAAATTCGCGTTGGATAAAGACGTAGATAGAATGAACGGGAGGGAGAGAGAGAGAGAGAGAGATCTTCCCATCTCGCTTCGTCTAATTGCTTATTTAAGTAAGCTTTTGTATATCAATTTTTGCGTTCGAATCTGTAGAATACATTTCGATTGTAATTCTTATAAATTTTGATAGATAAAAGTGTTGAAAGTGTTCGATACTATTTCTCGAGTAATAAAATCGAACGTAGAAAAGAAGATTCGAAACGTTTCTACTACGTGTTCAACTCGATTCTATCACGTGTTATCTAAAAAAAATCCTGCGAGTTGCATAAAGACGCAAAGCAGGGATCTCGAACGAAGCGAAAGGCAGCCGGAATCGACGAGAACATCCCATCCGGCAAATTTCACCGGTTTTACTTTCGCGAGGTGAAACGGAAGTGCATCAACGAGTAAGACGCACAAACGATGCGAATCTTCGTGTTCTATACACCGCGGAAGAGAGGATGTTCCACACTCGTGCGGAAGTTTCCTTTTTTCTTTTTTTTTTTTTTTTTTTTCCCCCTCCTCTCCTTGTTGGTGCAATCGTTGTTGGAAACCGGAAACCGAGAACCGGATTGTTTACTTGAAGAAGACACGCGATGCTGGCCAAGCTTTTGCAAATGTGCACGGACTCGATGACATTATCGCGGCGAAAGCATCTCTCAGGATATTCCTTTTGCTTCCTCGCAAAAGGAAAACGGACGTAACATTATAATTCGAGATTTTTGCTCGATTATTCACAGATCCACTCGTAATTGTGATAATTCGTTCGACGAAACGAATCATCATCGATTTTATCGATTCCAATCCCCGATTGAATCGTGGATGAGATTTTGAAAATTTTTTTTTTTTGTTCGTGTTGAATTATATTCGAAATATAAATCGGAGCCGATGTTTTGAACCGGGAAGATAATAAAGATCCGCGGATGGGATATTATTACGTAGTTAGAAAAATGTTTGGAGAAGAAACTCGAGTGGGCGGGGAGAAGCTAGAGGTTGGAAGATATCCAACTCTTGTAGACTTTTGCAATTTTGTCGGGAAATAGAGTTCCACGTTTGCTTTTTATCGGGGCGATTCTCGCCTTAAAATTAACTCGTCGGGTTTGTTGACTGGAATTTATATTTTCCTAGATTTCTTATTTTTATCCATATCTTTCTCCGAGGATAATTATATAAATATGATAATTTTTGCATTAATCCGCGTTTCTAAGAAATTACTACACTTGTATAATTATCTTATTGGTATACTCTTATTTATAATTTTGTCTACGAAAAGGACTGGTCGCGATGATCGTGGGGGGATCTAAATTTACAATTCTTGGAAATCGGCTACTTTATTGCTCTTATACTAGACAGAATCGCCGCATAGAACAAAAGAGTATGAACAGTCGGGAAGAACAGAAGGGGTAAACGTTCTAAAGATACGTAGGGCTCTAATTCGAGGATCTAATTCATGCATGTGGAACTCGTGTGCCGTCGCAACGGCTGGAACTTTCACGTCGCTCTTCTTCCGCTAACAAGAATCACCGATGATGTTCCCTCGAAATGCAGCTCGAAATCGATCGATTTTTTTCTTTCCTTCTTTTCATTTATAAACAAACGAAGCACGCTTCCTCTTCGAGGAAGAAAAAAAAAAGAAAGAAAAATCTGAATCAACTTTCGACGAAACGTTGAATGAATTTGTAAAAAGAATCGTAATGCGATATTTATATTTTCTTCGTAACCGTGTCAAACCGAGGAGATATACGTGTCCGCTCGATTTTATTTCGAGACGCGGAACGCGACTTTTCCCCCGCAGAGATAGATAGATTCGATTTCACCCCGTTCCGGCGTGGTATCGACCGGCTTGGTGTGACGTCACGTTTTCCTCGATGATCCACTGAGAGAAAAATCCTCTCGTCTAGCCGAAGTCACCGCTCAGACGCCCAGCCCAAGGTGCGATGACACGAATACCCCGTATCGTTTGGCAGCTGAACGAGAGTTAACAACGCTGCCAGCTTGTCACCTCGATTCGAGACCGCGCGCAAAAATGTACCGGTAGCGATAAACAACCGGGAAGATTTATCTCGTCGCTTCGGGGAATTCGCGATTCTCCTTCTTTGATTTCAAAAAATCAAAGAAATAATATTTCTTTCTTCGCAGAACCCGGGAGCTGAAAAATGGCGTCCTATGGCCATCTCGAACCCATCGACTCGGTTGCGCATGGCAAGGTCCATGCCCCACTGGGTACTGGTACGTAGATCCTTTCCTTCTCCAATTCTACGAAATCTTCTGAGTACGAAAATATTTCGTAAAGGCGCAACAACAGAAGGAGATGGATCAGAAGCAGCAGCGCCGACCACCGACCCCACCGAAAGTACCGCCACCGTCGCTCTCCGGAGACTGTGGTGACCCGGACTACGAGATCATCGAATTTCCGACCCGACCGCAAGCGCAGAAATCCTCTCAGACACCGGCCGCGAACAAGTGCGCCCTATGCGGGGCCGAGAACGTGTACGCCCGTTGCGACACGTGCAACGGCAATTACTGCGAGGCCTGCGACGACATGAACCACAAACATCCGAAA